ATATATTTTGTTCTGCTTTCTAGAGCAGAAAGAAATGAGACCTGAGAGGTGCAATCCTGTTTATATGCCACATCATTGTCAATATGGTATTATATGACGATTTTTTTTTCTTAGTATTTTGTTCAAGCTAAACAAAACATTTAGAAAGCTGCAAAACTGAACTCTTCTAAACTAACAGATACCGAAGTTAAGGTTGTTGGTGCAATCCCCATGTTTTACTCATGGAATTTTAAATTCTGTGATCATAATCTTTTGCAGTAAAGACTTGCTTCAGTCACTGAACACTCTAAATGATATTCATGTGAAGTGGCTACTCAGCATTCTGCTTTTTCTTCATTATGTGTGCATGGACTTCTTGCTTTGTCATATGCTGTGGAGGTTCTGTAGCCTGGACAGAACTATTGGTTGTTTCTCTTTTGCTGTTGTCTGTGACACTCATCAATATAATAGTGATAACTTGTTGCACTTTGATAGATTATTTTTTCTGTTTTACAATTGTGATCATGGGGCACAGTGGTTAAAATCACAGAGATCCATTAAATGCAGTGTGTGACTTTAAATTATTCTGGTGCAATTTTCCCAATATATTTATCATTCGTATGTTCAAAACCACTTCCTACAGAGTTCAGCTGCGATTATAAGTAGCTGGTGTTTTTGCAGGTCACGCCCTCAGATCTTACACTCAGGTTTAGGATCTCACATCAAGAACTGAATGTGAAGCAGACACACTCAGTGACAGCCACTTATGATGACATTTCACAACTTGCGTACCATTGCATAACATCTGAGGGATGGCGTCAGAGATGGTATTCAGCTTTCAAAGACAGAGTGCAGCTGACTTAACTGCAGATATTTTAAATCCTCTTTCCTTTGTTGCAATCCTGTTTTGCTTTATCCTGTGGAGCAGGATGTTGAGCTTGAATGGGCCAAGTCTCCTGTACTTGGGCCTGAGCAAAGTGAATTGAACATCATGTGGCTGTACTGTAATCATAAATACTCCATCATAGGTAAAGGGATTGCATTTGCCTTAGAGTAAAATGTCTTAAGTCACGTTTTAAGTTAAGAACTCATTGATTGTATAACCTACAGATGGGTCTTTTTTGCAGTAGGTCTGGCAAAATTGATGATGCAGTATTTGAATATGTACTAGAAGAAGAAATCTACCTTTTTAAAATTCAGAAATTTGAAAGATCAATATTCCTTAATTTTAATTATGCTTTCAATTGGATAATTTAACTAACTTATTTATTCTAGTTCAATATTAACTGTATTTTTTTGATTTGATAGCTGTATTGTATCTTTCTAGTACTACTTAATCTTGTTAACAGTGTTACAACTTTGGTGCCTCTTTTTCTGTAATCAATTCATTATTAAATCTCATTTCTTTAGTAAATCAAGTGAGTTGGGAGCTGTTGAATGTGGATGACTAAATGTATGCCATCTTGTCAGTATAAAAGTCTCTCATTATTGGTCTTTTGTTAGCTACTTTTAATGTGGCTTGCCCGTTTGGGGAACAAAAGATACTTGATTTTGATTTGTCCTTTCTTTGTCTGTTTTTTATGGTAATCTCTTCCTGGATAACTTGACAGCTGAAGCTGGGCCTAAAAGTGACATAATATTTCTTCTTTTATGCTGCAGTGGAAGAATTTGCTTTGTACCTCTACCATTTAGTGATTCACTTTTAAGATGTGAACGTTTTAGCAAAATTACCATTACGACTCTATAAATTATATTTAGGTCTGGATTTCTGTTTTATCAAACAGTCTGATAAGACGGAGTGTGGATAAGAAAATAATCTCTGTAGTTTTAATCCCAATGAAACACAGTGTTTTCATGCTGGTAGAAAGCCTGCAGTGAAATTTGCACTCTATGTCTGTTTATCTTTTTTGTTAGTGAAGAGCATTCCAGGTTTCTAGCTTGACAGTTGCAGTTCATAATCATCTCAGTTTCTTTTGCTAGCCATGGATTTTCATGCATTGTCATACGTAAAAGAAAAGCTTGCCGTTTTGTGTTCATCATTAATGAAGAACGTGATCATCAGTAGATGTTTTTACTTCTTTCATTTCCATTTTTGTTTCTGTAAGTATAGCAGGATGAATTGTATGGGTTTACACCATGGTTAGCTGGGGTGATGAGCACCCAGTATGAAAACATGAGTTAGCATATTTGGGGTACGTGGTATCTCAGATCACTACCAAAGTATTGTCTCCTCACTGGTACATTGTTCTCCCATGCATAAAAGCATTTGGAGTACATTGTGCTGCCACAAATGGAGCACCTGCATGATTCTTTCTCAGTGTACTTCTGAAGTATTCATCTATTCTGTCTGGTCTGATGGAGCAAGTGTGGAAGGGAGAAAAAGAGGATTCCCTGTTTCTGGAAGATTTTGCTGCTGTATGCTCAGCAGATGTAGGTTTTCTGTCTCAAGTTTCTTCCAACTGTCCTTCTTTGTCTGGGTTGCAAGTACCTTTTGATTGAGGTGAGAAATTGTGTGTGCCTTTGTGTGTATATGGAGTACGGAGGAGATGATATTCTGCATCAAGAGTGATTCAGTGGTGAAGGCAGGCATATGTATCTGCCATATATTGCCTTAAAGCTTTGCTTAAAATTTATTTATTGTGTTTTTTTTTTTTAATTTGTTTTTATTTGTTCTTTTATTGTGATTTATTTTTGCACTGGTGGCTTGCTTTGGTGGGCCAGTTTAATGATAATTATATCCTTATGCTGTGATCTGAAATGGTTGTGCATTTGCATGAGTTGTATTTCAAACTCCTAGCTGTCACTCTATGAAATCTGAAGGGGCAGATTACTTAGGATTACTTAGATTACTTAGGAGTAATCAGACGTTCACTTGTGTTGGTCTCCAGATTGAGTGAGGTAAACCAGCCTGTGTCTGCTGTTGATTCCAGCCTTTAAACTTGTAATGACCAGAAGTACCGCAGTATTTCTGTAGGACTGACAGGTTTCAATTTTATCAAATATTCGTAAATAGCCTGTGACATGTTTGGTCAACTGGCCAAAAAGTAAAGCTGTTCAACCTATCTTGCACATTCAGTGATGTTTTATCAGTACTGTTCTACACTGGAGGTTCTCTTATAACAAAGAAGAATCTTGATTAATTAAAATGATTTTGACTTGTCAAATTACTACACTGTTGCACTGAATATTATGGCTGTGGTATGGACAACACTAAAAGATCATAAAATATTCCAATATGTTGAGTTAGAAAGATGTGTAGTTTTGCATTACAGGACAGTATATTGGAACCTTGCTAATTATTCACATACTTTTCTACAGGTTTGCAATTTGTTATCAATGGTATATGTTAAAATAATAATGTCTATTTTAAAGGCATATTGATATTAATGTCCACGTTACAATAAGGTAATGATCTAGGTACTTCAGCTCGTATATTGGACATTTGTAGGTGGATCTTAGAACCACTGAGGCATATTGTTACCTGTGATGTTTATGGTGAATAACAGAAATCATGATCAAACTTCTGCAAATTTAGCCATGAAAAGGACTATATATATTATAAGAGGTACTTATTGTCTGTCTACAGGATAGTTCTTTAAATGCTTTTCACCACTTTTTTTTCTGTGTTAAATAGTTGAATTATTTTTAGCTGTATAAAAGACAACACGTGGCTGAAAATTAGAGGGGAAATGGTGATAAGTACTACACTTCTGTCTTGCAAACAGCTGCACATGCAGTTTCTTTTCAAATATTAACAAAGCTAACTTATACTTTATATGTCATGGGTTTGTTCTTTGGAACTGCAGGAGCGATTGCTTTTGTATTCCTGTGATGCAAGGAAATATTGCATGATCAGTGTTGGTGTTGTAATTCTTTTTAAACAGATACTCTATCCACTTTCTCTCCTTGCAAATAGAATCTAACCCCTACTGTGTTGGAAGGCATGCTAGGAATTGCCTTATCTTAGATTAAAGGAAACTTTTGCTATAGTATAGTAGGAAGGGAAGAAGGAGAGAAACAGGGTGGCTACCTATTTGCTACTGTCTCGTATAAGGAGAATATATACATTTCACAAGGTTACAGAGGGATTGCAGGGTGCAGAGGGGAAGGTCTGTGTTTACCCTGTAAGCACTTCTTCCTATCCCTTCTCGCAGCAAATTTGTGCCTGAGGTTAAAACTGAAAAATATGGATGGATCATTCACGAGAATATGACTGGACAATGTTTCACATTTATTCCAGGCTAACAGGAACTGTATAATAAGGTGATGGGTGGAAAAAAACTCCTTGTTTATGATGATTGTGAAAGCTGCACTAGCTACATCTCCATTAGGGCTATTACCACAATGGTGGTTAAGTGGAGTGTACATGGAGAATTTTGAACTGTTAGTACACATAAATCTTGTTTCTGGGCAAAGCTGCAGGCACTAACTTTTGTGGAAGCCAGAATCAGAAGTCTGAATTTAGATATAGACTTTCTAATCCTGATGTTGGATACAGATAATAACTTATGGGGGTTAAACTAGTTGATAAAATTACAGGAAATCCACGAGGAAGTAGAGATGTGTTCATACTACTATAACTACTTTGGCAGTATATGAGATAAGCCCCATGGTTGTTGAAAACTGAACATGTCTTGCATATATTTCTGTGCAACACTGCCTGCAGTACTTAGCCCCTGGGATCTAATCGTTGTGATTTGACAACTGGGAAATTCAATGAGGACAAGCTATTAAGGGGAAAAAATGCAAGTCTCTGTTTTAGCGTTTTGAAGAAAAGGATCAGAGGTACCTTTGCCTGTAGCCAGGGTTTGAGAGCTTGTAATGTACATTCTTAGGTACACCTTTTGATCTTTTTTGATTTTGCTAAAGAATTTGAGATGTCACTTTTATAGAAGGGGAAATAAAGAAATAAAAACTAAAACTTACAGGTCACTTCTAAGTATCTAGCAGGCAGAACTGCTATCAGGTAGAAATGCTGTTTGAGAAGATGCTCATAGTTTGTGTTTGATGTGCATTTACAGTGTCCATATATGGGATTTGGTTTTATGATAAGGAAGAATGCCAAAGAATTGCAGAGCTCATGAAAAAGTAAGTGACGGGTAAACAAGACTTTGTGCTTTTTTTTATGTATGTATTTCTGTACATACATGCACATTATATTACTAGGATGGCTGTACCTTTCTACTTAAAACCTGCTCGTATAGAATTTGTTACAAGTAAAATTGTCTCCCACCTGCATTTTATATATTCAGAAATAATTGCAGTACTTTTTCCATAATTTGCAATGCAGGTTTCTAGCTACATCAAAGTGTAAAAGTTCATCTGAATTGTTTCTTGATGATTCAGAGATCTGTTTTATACAGTTGTGTTCTTTGGGAGGGGTTAATGCGTTTCTCAGTTTGGGGAGATTTCCTTCTTTTATCAATTTAAATATGGACTATCATGAAGGAATGCTGCAATAATACAGTTTACTGTTTTTATCCTTTTTCTACATCATGGTTGAATTCTTGTTTCTTTCTTTCTTACCAGTATGTAAAGAATACACTTTGGTTTAGGAATATAAAGAAAGGCTTTAATTAGCTTTGAATTCATAACTCTTATATACATATTAAGAATATTTTATGTGTTATACAACCTTAATTCTGCAACGAAACAGGAGATAAAAATTTCATACAAAACTGTATTAATCTTACAACATAATGAATAGCTTTTTAACTAACAACATAGTGGCTATTTTTTCACAGTCACTGCTTTTTCTATTTGTGGAGGATTGACGGTTCTCATTCTGCTTTTCCCTCTGCTTGATCTAATGACTGCCTTGTTTGCAATGATTCCTTTCTTAAGACTGCATTCTACAGGTGCTTGCTTGGAAGAGGAAGGAGCTGAAATCTTACAGATTTTATCAACGTATATAATCTGCTTTTTTTTTTTTTTCTTTTAGAGGTATAATGTGGAGTACATGTAGGAAAGGGACAGTGTAGGAATGGACACTTTAGATGTAGTAGTTGTCTGTGGTACAGAGGGTTGGGCTTACCATTGTGTCACAGTTCATGTAAGGGATAGGAAGAGGAATGATTTAGAGCTCAGTCCTTGTCATCCCAGAAAAGCCATGAGAAACTGATACAGTCAAGCCAACATCATTAGGTACTAACAGGGTGCAATGTGAAAGCATAGTCAGAGCTGTGAATCTCTCCTTTTCATGTCATCTATACCAGTCTTAACAGCCTGGTTAGCAAACGTGTTTCTGTAGCCAGAAGTATGCTGAAGAAGTGACATCAATTCTGATTGCCCAAGTATCAAGTTCCAATTTTCATGTCCTACAGTTCAAGTCCAAACAAGGCTCATACTTGACATCTCAATCCATAGCAAAGTGCGTTGATTCTTCTGTCACTGTGTTTCAGATTGGACTTGTTACAAAATACTGGATGGGAAGTTAGTCATGTTTCTCCTACATCTTTTTACAGAGCTGCCTGCTGCTTTACATTTTGCAGTGACAAAACGTTGTTAAACACTGACTGTAACAGTGGTGGGGTTTTATTTGGGGTTTTTGTTTTGCTTTTGCTCTACGTTCTGCAGCTCTAAACTGACTCAGTTATGACCCAAGGAATAATTGATGGGGATGAATTTCCAGAAATAAGCAGTGAACCCTAGGAAACCCATTTTTTTGACAGCTAATTTTAGTTAACTAGCTCAAGTTTCAGTTGGTGGTGATTAGGTACTCTCAAACTGGTAATTTACCACAATAAAAACTAGTTTGCAGAGAATTCATGCTATTGTAAACCATGTGTAGTGGTTTATAATAGTGGTGTTGCACATAGATTAAAAAAAAAAATACCTGTCATTCAGCCAATTGGCTGTGTGTTTTAATTCTCAGCATTCTACAATAATAATAAAACAGCTGGGGCAGGAAATTGGTCATTTGCTGGTAGTTAATGACTGATTTGTGTGTGTGTTTGCCATCCCCTACCACCAGCAGAACTGAATAACATTATACATTCCCTGCTCCTTCTGGGTATGGAAATTGTGACTGAGTTATGGAAATTTTAGGGTATGACCTATTCAGGATTGAAGAAAATGTTTCTTGCACCTGGTCAAATTATGCTTTATTATAGATATTTAAATAGAGATTTTTAACTGTATTGTTATGTAGTTTGAGAGGCGGGGGAATTAGAATACTTTTTTTTTTTTTTTAATTGTTGTAAAGTAGTTGTAGTGAAACTTTTTATATTTTACCTGTTTTTGTCTTGTGTATTCTCCTCTCACCTCCTATTTTCAGCCTAACTCAGCAAGAGCAATTCAAAGCACAGCAGGGCACAGGAACAGGAGTGTCCCCTATGGTCATGAATTCTGCTAATAACAAAGAAGTGGATATCTTACGGATGCTTACCAAGGCCAAAGATGAGTACACTAAGGTGAGAATTGCTATCTCTAAGATCCCAGCTTTTGTATTTTTGGTGGTACTGTGTTGCTAATTTGCTCAAACTTTACATTTTAAAACTTTTTATTTTGTAAACTAATTTTACTTGAAGTTAAACTAACTTTTTGGACAGAATGCTCTGTCATTTTGTGAAAGTCTATATGTTTTGTCAGGGTTTTCTAAAGATTGGAAAGAACTGAATTCTGTCAGTAACTCCTGAAAGGAGAACATGAATGAGATTTGATCATTTGTTGAATGCTAGAGTGTAAGTGCAAGTGTAAATTGGCTTTCGTTTTGACCTTTAGAAAACCTGTGCTTTCAGTACCTGAAATTTGTGTCCCCTTTTAGGGTGAAATATTCAAAACTGCTAATAGTTTCTGTGGTTTGCACAAAAGATTTACCTTAGGGAAGACCTTTAACGTTGAACTTACTGCCTTTAGTTGCAGTTATTGTCTATCTTAGATGCTACTGGAAGTAAATGAAAAGGTTGAAATCTAGTATGATCACATATGCTGCATTGGTCTTCTGAGGCTTCTAAACCACAAAATAACTAATGGACTAATAATGTTCTCTATTATTGGGTAATGAAAAATGTTTTACTTTAGGGAGTAAAGATTTAATAATTTTAACTATTCATATATATGCTGAAAATTGTTTCAGAGCCTGCGGGTTCCTACTGCTATTTCCCGTATTTCATGTGTGTTGCCATGCAGTAATAAAGCTCATTACGTAAGTGCTAAGAGTCTAGAAATATGTATGTTTTGAACATAAGCGTAACAAAAAAAAAAAATTAAATTTCTGAAATGTGACTTATTATCCTCAAATAATAACTGTTTGAGTTATGGTAACGTTGGTATACTTTATTTTGAAGCTAGGATCTCTTTTGTCTGTAATAAGGATTTAATGTATTAATAGTCAACAAACGTTTCCAGCTCCTGATATCTTTTTTTAAATTATTTTTAAACTGAATTGGTATCTAGTCTTGGAATAAAAGGGATTTGATAACTTAAATGTTTCATAATATAATGTCACTAAATGCCTTAAAAATGGAAAGCCTGAAAAATATTAGACTGTCATTGGATACTATGAGAAGGATGTAGTACATGTTTTAAAAGTTACCTTTCACTTCTACATGAACACACAGCAAATCAAGATCAAGGAAAGGAAATTCTAGATCTGTGTTTTATAGTTTCTTGATTTTATTTTTTTTTTTCTGCAGCTAAGATCTTTACCAAATTTGCATCTTACTCCATCTTTAATCTTTCCACTTATAGGGAAATAACATGAAAACTTTTCCACCTGGGACATGAGTACTATTATCTGACTTCTTATGAACTGTGTGCTTTTTCTTGCTTGGTTGGTAACATAAAATTAGGAAGGGCATGAAAGATAAAGGCAATGACAGCTATTCTTGTATTCTATGTCAATACATTCCATAGCAATTGTCCTTTTCGACTCCTTATGACATTTACTTCACTGTCGACGTATGTCTTAAAGTTTACAATGCTAACATGCTGAGATGAGTTATTAATTTTGCTGTTCTTTCTGAATTCCATGTGGTTTCAGAAAATAAGGTGCTTTAAATTGTTGTGAGCCTCAAGAATATCATTTTTTTCCAAGCATCTAAGGAATTCTACTTAATTTTTAAATCCTAGGATATTATTTTTAAAATCTGATAAGAAGTGTTTTTAGGAGGCCTGATCATGATAGTTAGGAAGATAAACAGTTGAAGAGCTGGTGGGGTACAGAAAAAGTACACTAAAACGTGTTGCTCCTTAACCACTGTGCCTTGCCTTGTACTACAAGATAGAGTGGTTTTAGCTCTGTGCTACACAGTTCCTCGATTGCATTCACCCATTTAATTCACTGTCCTTTGATCTGTTAGAGGTCAGATGAGGTGCACAAGCTTTGTCTGGTTGATGTGACCAGAGTAACTGAAGCTTTGCTCTTCATTACTGAGGACACACAAACATTTGATAAGAACATCTTGTCTGGTAGTGAGTGAGCAGAGGCTTCTTGGCTTTTATTTCTGTTGATTGCTTCTTTACTGTCTTTCAGCAAAATACTCCAGTGATACTGCCCTGCTTGAACAGAAATAGAGTTTCTAAGTCTTCAGTTGTCCTAATAGCTTTTGGTTTGTTAGCAGTATGAAAGACTTGATAGTAGCCTACCACCTCCCCAGAAGGCCTGTCCTTCCTAGGGACACTGTGTTGTGGATGATGCTCAGGCTGGATGATAGAAACTGTATGCTACTAGTCTTGAATGGTCTGAGTGGGGTGTGAATGTCTTGCTTAAGGAGGTCTCTGTCTGAATATCCTTGCAGCTACTGCTCTCTTTGAGATTGTTCTTGTCCTTCAGCTTTTCTCTTCTGCAGAGCACCCTGTGCATTTTCATGTGTTTATTCACTAATGTCTTCTTGTGGTTGTTTTACATCAGCTAGACATTTCCAGGGATTCTGTACATTTAAGTTCATGAAGCTTCAAAGTTCTCTGTTGCTTTCAGCATAGCTGACCATTTACATAGCTCTACTAAATCCCATCAAATCTTGGCTGAGAGCCTTTTCCTGATATTAGGCCTTCTCGCATCTTGTTTTTGTACTTGAGAGGTCTTTGCAGCTTGTTACTCAGTCAGATTTCAGCTACAGACCATGAGACGATGATGTGACGTGGCATTTGCTTCTGGACAGCTGCACTACTTATGGTACCATGCTTGACCATTGTCTGATTCCTTTTGGCAATGCCATGTTCAGCTTGAGCTTCATATTGCACAGGTAGACTATGAAATCTTTTAGCAGAGAGCAATTGTTCAGTGTAATCAGAGACACTTAAGGCAAACTTGCCTAAGACATCCTCAGTGAATGCCTTTATTCTTTTTGATCAGCTTGATCTTTGAACTTTTTCATTGCGTACACGTTTCTTGTAGGGGCATAGCTTTGAACAAGGCATATGATTAAAGGACTGACCTCTGAAGCAAGATGCAGTGATCATGAAGTATTGTAGCACATCAGTACTATGCTGGTTCTAACGCTAGAGCATGCTGACATTTCTATGAAAGCTGCTTTTTGCTGTTTGATGATGATGGGAGATTGTATCTTTTTTACCTGTCCACCCAACAGTGGCTTAAATGTCAGGCTGGTGTTCCTAATTTACTTATCAGCTAGGCCATGCTGATGGTGTGCCAAAGTGACCTTATATTCTCAGCTTCAGTAGTAGAAATCAGCACAGGGCTTTTCTTCTTCAGTATATACTCCTGTATTGGATACCATTCTACTAGCCATGTTATCAAATCATGAAAATTATACCAAGTCAAGGTAAAAGTCATCCACAATAGCCCTTTGTGTATACTGCTATAGTTTACATTTTCATTTTGCTGATGAATAGCATTTTAAAAAATGTGCTTACACTGGTAAGAGCTCTCCTACTTCTCATTTATATATACTTAGTTTTAGCACTGTGTAGGCTATGGCAGTGGTATTTAAGGTATTCACCATTTCTGAAGAATTCATCTTATTAAAATATCCTGGAGAAATAAGGGCCTAATGCATTTATTGAAAGCCTGCAGAACTCATTATGAAATACACAAGAGTATGTCATACATCATGTTGAAGAAGTTTATATAGATGCTTATATGTTTTTCCCCAAAAACCTGTGCTGAAAAATAGCAGTGAGGAGGCATGTTGAAGAAAAGGCAGCATCCTGTAGAAAGAGAACAATCTGGGAGAGAAGAGATATTTAATCTTACTGAAGTGTGTGTTTGTTCTGTATAACATCATAATGGGTTAGGATATGTCCAAACAAAAAAAATAAAAAGGGAATGATATTCACCTGTTTTAAGTGTAGGTCAAATAGTGACTACGGGAATCAGTTACTTGAACTATCAAAATGTTTTAATCTGCTAATTAGCAGGTAGGATATTTAATTGTCATTAAGTGAACAAGAGACAACAAAAGTCACTGGTCAGAAATTGACTGAGAAAGTGAAGTAGCAAAGCGATTTAAGAATAATTCAGTCATTTGTCTTCATGTGCTTAAAAAAAAGATTCCTCAAATGCAAGGATAACAATGTGTCAGCTGAAAAGAATCTAAGAAAATAATTTCTTTGAGCAATGCAGACTAACCTCCCTTGGAGTTCCTGTGTTTATTGCTTATTGAGTGGTATCTCAAAGTTCTGTCCAGCCTCATTTGCTTTAAGCACGTTGCCTAGAGGCATGTTAATTCAGGGTTTGAATATCTCCATGCACTTCAGGTAATCCGTTTGGTATTTGAACAGCCTTATAGTAAAGTTTTTTTTCTTAGTTTAAACAGAACTTTGTATATTCCATATTTTACCTATTGCCTTTTGAACTTGACGTGAGCCAGCAGTGTGCATTTACAGCCTGGAAGGCCAGTGATATTCTGGGTTCTATCAGAAGAGTGATGGCCAGAAGGGCAAGGGAGGTGATTGTCCCCCTCTGTTCTGCCCTAGTGACGCCCCAGCTGGAGTTCTGCATTCAAGTCTGGGGTTCTGAGTACATGAAATATGTAGAGCTTTTGGAGAAGGTTCAGAGGAGGGCCACAAAAATGATCCAAGAGCTGGAGCACCTCTCTTGTGAGGATAGGCTGGAGGAACTGGGCTTGTTCAGCCTGGAAAAGAGAAGGCTGCAGGGAGAACTCATTGTGGCTTTTCAATATTTAAAGGGAGTTTGCAAACAGGAGAGAAATAAAATCTTACAAAATCTAATAGTGATAGGACATGGGGGAATGGTTTTAAACTGAAGGAGGGGAGATTTAGATTAGATGATGGGGAAGATTTTTTACTGAGAGAGTGATGAGATGCTGGAACAGATTGACCGGAGAGGCTGTGAATGCCCCATCCCTCAAAGTGTTTAAGGCCAGGTTGGATGGGGCCCTGGGCAATCTGATCTGGTGCTTGATCTAGCGGTTGGCAACCCTGCCTGTAGCAAGGGAGTTGGAACTTCATAATCCTTGGAATCTCTTTCACCCCAAGCTATTCTATGATTTATGTCTACCAGGAGCCCTGGGTCAATTTTGCAAAGCTACTTTCTGGTCATCTGGTCCCAGACTGTATTGGTGCATAGGGTTATTCATCTTCAGTTTCCTTCTGTTAAACTTCATGATGTACCTCTGAATGGCACCACAACCACCAGGTCTACTGACCACACAGGTCTCATTTTTTACATCCTCTGCATGCCTGCTCTGTTCCATCAGTTAGGTCATTACTTACGTTAAACAGTATTGACCCAAATATCAAGCCCTGGTGTGTACTACTAGCAGCTGGTCCCCAGTGGGACTTGATGCCAACAATATTTTGAGTCCAGTTTTCAGTCCTAACTGTCTGCTTACCTAGTCTGCATTTTTATCTTCAGTTTGTATCATTTTTGCATCAGCTTGTCTTTATGTGTCAAAGGCGTTGCTAAAGTCAAGCTAAACAATATGCACTGCTCTGCCATTTCCCACTGAGTCACTCAGCTCCCTGAAGAAGGCTATTAAGTTGATCAAGTAAATCCATTCTGGCTACTCCCGCTCACGTTATTTTCCTTAACACATTTAGAAATGGCTTCTGGAAAGATTTCTTCTACCACCATCCCAGAGACTGAGGTGTGGTAAATTGGTCTGAAGTGCTGCAAATACTCCTTCTTGTCCTTCCTTGAAGATAGGAGTGATATTTGTTTTCTTCTAGTCCTAAGTTGTAGGTACCTTTAAAAAAAATAAAATTAAATGAATAAATAAATAAATAAATAAAAATCTTCTCAGTTTCTTGGTTTCAATTGTATCTAGAGACAGTTACTTCTGAAGTAGTATTTTCTATTATACTGACAATAGCATTCCTTGTACATTCAGTACTTTTTAATTTTGTTGACTAGATTCTTGTTTTGGATACAGTGTAAATAGAACTATCTTACTCACTTTTTCCTATTCCATATTTTCTTTCTCTTTCATGCAGTGTTTTCTGCACATTTTCTGAATTAAATGATGGCCTCTCTATGTCTCTGAGTACTCTTAGTCATCTGTCTCTGCCTGCTCATTTATAAATACAATTATTAATTCCATCATATATAATATGTAAACATGCTGATCTACAACTTGATTAAATCTTTAATTATTTTTCTGTGTGAGTATACAAGTTCCCATGTTGTAGAATGTTTATGTAATAGAATTTGAGTTAAAATTTCAGCATTTAGCAAAAAGCATTTTAAATACTCTGTGTTTGTACATAAATCCCTGTATCTAAACTACTTGAGACTATTAAAGGTCTAGCTGACTCCCAATACACGAAAAACGTGTCAGGTTGATTTTGTGTTAAGTGCAGGACAAGCCAAAGATGAGAACTGAGTTTCAAGCTAAAGGGAAACCTTGTGCTCAGAAAACCTTGGAGTTAAGTGTTTATTTTTACATACGTCTTTAGATTTTAGAAAATCAGGTTGTAGTTCTTTCAACAGCATAACACCTCACAGTGCTAGGGCAGTCATTTTTGCTAACTGAATACCCAGCTAGGTCTGGATTTTACTATGGTAGAGAACTAAGAGGAAAAGTACAATAATAGTTACTCAAAAATACTGTTTTTCTGTTTCAGTGTAAGACCTGTTCTGAGCCAAAACAAATAACTAGTTCCTCTGCAATCTGTAACAACCCCAACCTAATCAAACCAATTCCAGTGAAGCCTAATGAAAATCAACATCAACGAATATCTCAGCAAAGCAAGGTAAAGTGTTTTGTGTGTGTTCTGACTAGTGTTAAAATCAAGTAGTCAACCAGGAGTACTTATTTAGATCAGAAGATCAATGCAAGAATTTTTGGTAAAACCACATTAAGGATTATGTTTTAAATGCAAAACCAATCTCTATATAAAAAAGTCTGCTTCCATCCCACCAATCTGAGTACTGAGACGTAGTATCCTGATGCAGCAGTTAAAAATAAATAAAAAAATAAAAAACCACCTTGTTTTTCAATGTTGAGATGCTGTTTTGATCACAAGCTGGTGTAGTTAATTGCTGAACCACATTTTTTGTGTTCATTGTCTTCAAGGGAATTTTAGGTAATCTAGAAGTCTTTTGCTACATCTTCAAACTATACCATATTGCAAAAGCTGAATTCAGTCAACTGTAACAAGGAGATGTACCAGAAGTGACCTTGCTCTGCACAGGGGGAGGTTTTTGTTCTTTATTAATGTTGTATGGATGGCTGGAAGGGTAGATGCTCTTTTATGGTATTTAAAGTGAAACCACTGCTATCTTTCAGATTCACTGGTTTTCTCCCATATTAGCAGCTTGACAACTGTTTTCTTGCCCTTCTGATGCGACTGAACTATTAGAAATTCTTTAGGGAGAAAAGAGCATAGCACTTCTCTTGGCTTTTTCTTGAATACTGCTGGCTAAATATTGTCACCACTTAATGTGATTTATCATGCGTGAGATAACTACACTTAAGATTTTTTTCTTTGTCCCTTCTCAGAATGCAGATCCTGAACCGCAACACTTGTCTTTGACAGCCCTGTTTGGAAAACAAGAGAAAACAGATGTCACAGAACCACTTAATAAACAGCATCAAGAGAACCTTCCTGTTAGGCAGGGTGTGGTACGTTCTCTTTCCTATGAAGAACCTAGCAGGCATTCTCCCTGTGCAGAGAAACAGCTTTGCCCTGCTATTCAGAAGCTTATGGTGCGTGGGACAGACCTTCACCCGCTTGCTGAGTTTCCTGAGAACCGGCTCTGTGAAAATGGCAATATCCACCCTGTGGGTGAGACTTTCACAGGACTCTTCCAGCCTGTGACTTCTCGTGGCATTGCTACATCTCATGTAGTTCAGGATGCTGCTGGTACTCAGAGTTTGTTACAGAAATTACAGAGTCAGTCAGGGTCGATGACTAAAATGGATCCCAGTGCAACAGGATCTGTGAACTCAACAGCTTCTGTGTTCAGCAGGACTCCTGCTGCTGTTGGAGCGCCAGCAGCACAGATGAATAATATGACCCAGCCACCTTTGGTATATTTCAATGGTTCCCTGCCAGGTCAGACTTTAGAGTCTCAGACGCTTGGTAAAGAACAGTCCAAACTTCCTAGACAGCCAGTTTCTCTCTCTGGCAATCAGACAGCCAGTTCTGGGGTGATATCACCTCAGGAGTTGTTGAAGAAGCTCCAGATAGTGCAACAAGAACAGTTGCACGTATCCAGCAGACCAACCTTGGCAGCTAAGTTTCCTGTTGTTACTCAGAACACCAACACCTTGAAACCACTGGATTCCTGGATAGAAAAGGCACCGGGTACGGAAAAGCAGAGCTCTCTCTTTCAGGTAAATAAACAATTTCAGAAACAGTTTTCTAAGTTTTTAAGGGCCATTCTCTATGTTTCTTTTTGTCCAGTATATTCTTCTTTCTGCCTTACTTTGTGTTGCTGTCTTGCACACGTGATTCGTTTTGCAGATGATAATTCATCAACAGCATGAGGAAGTTCTAATTTACTAAGCAGTTATATTCTAAATACCAAAAGAGATGTCTCTTGTACATCGGTAATGACAAGAAATACTGTAGTATTTATGTAGCTTTTCTTTCTTTTTCAGACATGTTTAGAAATGGCATGTAGGTTTCAGTGGCCATACTTTGTAATGTTTTGGGTATAATAGTATTTTTTCTTCACAAAATTAGTCGTAACTTTTTCTGTGCAGGTAAGTGTTCCTTTTGTGCCAGTTGCTAAAAGTGCTACAGATGCTGAAAGGATGCTTACTTTATAACAACAGGCTTTTAAATTATTTTTACATTGCTGAATTTGTTATCTTGGACCATAACTGCTACTCCAAGCTGTTCAGTAGTTTTGTTTTTTTATTCAATAAGTTTTGTTTTGAAAAGTTGCCCTGTGCATAAAAGTCTTAAAAAGAGGGGGGAACAAAAATAGCAAATCTCCAAGACACTGAATTCTTTTGATTGTGCCCCTGATATTGGGGTCAGAAAGTTCAGGAGACATCAAGGGATGGTGCGTCTCTACTGAATACATTTTTCTGTCCTTCAGGAGGACCTCAAATGTGATTATTAAGGGTCTAATCCTAGGCAACTGCTTTCTGCTAACAGTGTCATTCTTTGAAGGAACTTCCACATTTGAATGTCTTCATGTGTGCTCTGCTTGAGGATGAGCATTAAAGTCTCTTTTTACTTCCTTTATAGAGGAGATGCAGAATCCACAAGCCTTATATTGTGCTGGAGTCTACAAGTTACTTACCCAAATTACAAACCTTTTTTTTTTTTCTGCTGCTTTTCTACTGCGACTTCTTAAATAACTGAATGAAACACTACTGCTCCAAATGTCCTCATTACTTCTAGAAAGCTATTTTTCACCTGAGGAGGCTGAAACAGCCATTGAACAATTAAGGGCCACGTGGGCCACACCTGTCATAAACACTGACAGATCACGATTTCTAATTTCATGAGAGAGGTCAGAGGAAGATGAATTTGATAGAACAAATAGCCACCATTATTTTAATTCTTTCAATTAAACCAGCATGATTTTGAATCTGTGTGAAGGAGCGTTTGGTGGATTAGTCACTGAAATTTTTCAGGATCAGTTGCTTACAGATGGCAATCTGACTTTCCAGTGAAGTGCTAATGAATAGAAAGAGGATCTAGAGTCACAGTAATTTACTTGGAATTTTTGCTGGGAATGGAACTTGCCTGCTACAAATTGTCCAATTCACTGGGAAATGCATGTATAGCATGGAGACTTAGGACATTCTTACTTGGGAGGTAAAACTGAAATGAGGCAAGTACCAGGCTATGCATAACAAGCTAGTATTTGCAGTAGAGAGTGGGGAAAAAGTCTTGATGTGTTTTCAAATGAAAAATCCGTATTGATGCTGATGAGGCTTTGTGTATATTTGAGGAAGAAACTGATGTCAGCATTAGTTTCAGTATGAAAAGGGAGTTGAGGATCTCACTAATAATGCAGTTACAATAATTTTACAGCTTTAGTATAAACAGAGCAATAGCTTGAGGGAGGGGACAATTTTCACTGGAAGTCACATCCGCTAGAATTATTGCTGCAAGTTTGCTTTAACAGGGAGGAACAAAAACAGAAACACACACACACACACACACACACACACACACACAAAACACCTGAAGAGATTCTGAATCCCACTTTGCATGGCTGTGAGCAGTCCATAAAGATCCCCCCTCCTATCCTTCCCTCCCCCCCCAAAAAAAAAAAGAAAAAAAGGGATAGGAATTAAGGAATAAGTCTTTATTCCCGTAGATTACCATGAATTTGCCATATGAAGAGATTCTTGAAGATAACAATTCAAAACAACTTCTAAAGCCAACGTTAATCTTTTTATAATCACATCCGTACCATAGACAAAAGCTTTTAAGCGCTGCCACGCCTGCAGACAGACATTTGAGTGAAATTGAGTTGGCATCAATATATCTGCACATGCTCATGCAAAATTGATCAAAGTAGATTCTGATGACAAATACGGCAAAAGGGTTGTTCTCTGTAATTACTTATCTTTTGGTATTACATCTTTTACTGTAATCCAGCATATGAAAAAAGTGAATGCTAAAACGCTTGACAGGAATAGAAGAGTATCTGGACAGTGTCTTTGTTGTTTGGAAAAATCACATTACAGGAACATCCCAGATCTATCAGCAGTGCTGAGAAAATTAAAGCAATAGTCTTTTCCACAATTGACACATTACAAGTCCAATTTTAAATTGGCTTCTGCATCTCCATATGGTGTAAGAACTGCACTCTCCCACGTGGAGAGGAAAAGACCAGTTACAAAAAGAATAAAAAATAAAACTAAACATGAAAAGCTAAGGAATAATGCTCGGAAGCATTCGTCTGATGCTAGCCCTTCTCTGAGAAGTATTCCTTATGCAGACAGTGAGTAACACGTGCTTTGGATGCAATAAGAACGCATTAATCTGCAACGGGCTTTTAAACATGTGCTTAGTATTAGGCATGAGTTATGCCAATTATAGATTCATGCATGCTGAAGTGTTTATGTTAATCAGAATTGTGATTTTAAGAATGCTTACAATAACCTTGACACAAATTGATCTTTTCTTCAGAAGTCCACTTATACTGTATACCACTCACTTGGTTTCTTGGAGCATTTTCCATCAAAAATGTATCATAAACCTACTGTGTTACATGTTCTGAATGTGTATACAGTACATAGTAGCTAGTGGTATAATGCCAGCATCAAAGATACCTATTACCATAACTGCATTTTCAGCATGAGATTATAAGCATGCCGAGAAGAATGCAATAGATATGTTAAACTTGTCATGAAATGTAATCTCAGATTCTATAGTTACCCATCAATTAAAATTTTCTGGGTGATACCCAAGAGACAAAACAACGTTAAGATTAGCATTATAATTGGCTGTATTGTAACAGCAATTGTTAAAAATCTGGAGCCGTTCCTAGATGAAGTGTTCTCAGCTCTATATAATGCCCCTACAAACAGCCCATGGCATCCCCTGGGTGCTGATGTTCCACAGGAGTGCTTGATGGAAGTGGAATTTTGCACATGCAGAAGGAGGAAGCAGGGCCAGGCCCCAGTCTCCATTACAGGAGCGCCATGTGTTTCTTAGTGCGTGGTGTTATGTGAATTTGCCAGCTGTAATGTCTAGCTGCTAGCAGCCGTGCACAACATCAAACATATCTTAGCGAGCATTTGTGCTTCAGAGGAGGAATAGTACGTGCTGCAGTGACTATCTTGCACATTTTTTCATTGTTCTTACTTTATTGCTGCACAACTGACAGTAGACTCCCACTCTGTTATTAGTGACTCAGAGATATAAGTGTTGACCTGAAAAAGCTGGAGCTAATTCAGGGAAGGCTGGATGCACGAGCAGCTCGTGTTAGATTCTGTGAGAAAGAAGGGGATCAGTAGTGTTTTGGAAAGGCTGTTGCACCTTGTACAAAATTACTCAAGGCTAAAAGACTGGTTTGAAGGCTGTATATCTGTACAGAGTGCTTCCAGTGCTCTCAGCAAAAGTTTTGCTCTGTAGGAATCACACTAGCAATGCCAGTCCAGTGCCCTACATTTGCTGATGGGCATCAGTTGTTGGGTGGCTGGAGATGATCTGAACTGAATCTAAACTGAAAATTTGCCTTTGTGTTTTAAAAGGCAACCATCTGGCTTACGTATAAGTTTCTTAAATGGCAGAAGCTTTGAGCATGATCTCTTAGCAAAAGAAAATACATTTTAATGTTTGCACACAAAAGCACTTAGTATGGGCTGAAAATAAAATATACGTTAATTTTCTGTTTTTCTGAGGCAAATACTTGAAATACTGCAGTAACCTGTAGATATTAGCTCTATCACCAGTAGATGGCAGTATTGCTTATTCCATATACCATCCATATGATTGGAAAACTCTACCAAAAAACTGTTTCTATTCAGAGCAAAATAAACAATTTTTGATATGTCTGTTAAAACGAAACACATGTATGTTGGATATTAGTAACTATTTGTTACATAATTTGTGTCAGGTTTTGTTTGTTTGTCCCAGACTCTAAAGAGAAGTGCCTTTTGATTTCAAGGGACTTATTTAGATCTTTGACATCATCAGTTTTAGGTTTCCCTGTCTTAATGAGACAGTTTACCTCCTCCAGCTGCTCTCCACCATTCCTGAAGACTCCTACCCTGCAGAGCAGTTTGTATATGCATTCTTTAAATCACATTAGGAAAAATCGACTGATTTCAGGTAACCCACCAGTTTTACTTGGGATAAACTAAAGTTATTCAAGCTGCATGGATGAGTAGGTCAGAGATGCTGTCATGAGTGTCTGGAGGCAGCCGATCTTCTACAGGCATATCTGCAGCAGAATGTGTGTGCACCTGCTGAAGGTCTCAATCTACATCAGTAAATCCACGACTTCTGATGGTTTTCCTCTAAAATGAGCATTGTTCTTTAAGCATAGGTGCACAAACGTCTGTGCCACCTTGCTTTCTGAAGCAAGCCTGCAATAAGCTAGAAATACTGTTAATTCATTCAGGAGCTTGTAAGACAGACTTGATTATTTACTTTGTCATCTCACAGAGACAAAGTAAGAAAAAGATAGCAAGTAGAGAGTTGGATTTTTTAAGTAATATTCTGTATTTGAGAAACAGAGGAACAGTGTTTACCTAGAAAGCGTACTGGGAGATTTTTGCCTGAGACTCGTATTGCATACTTTCTAATGTGTATAGGTCTGTTCTGGCCCCTAGTGTTTCTGCTTCCTTCAATTTAGCACCAGTGAGCATGAAATCTCAGTCTTCATTATTCTATTCTCTTTGTATTGTTGCCTAATATTGCTCAGAAATGTCTTGTGTAGAGCAGTTGTAGCTAGGGCTAAGAGAACCAATGAAAGAAAGAATGCTTTTTAATGTTCATGTGCATTGTCTTGAACACCTAAGAGATCAACTTCAGATCTATTTTCTTAGTCTTAATTTCTCTTCAAAATTGAAATGTAACTCAGGACACAGAGCGCAGTGATGCTGTAGCCTTTCACCTTGATGGAGTAGCAATAAATCATGCTCCAGTTCCAAGCACGGCAGACTCAAACTAATTCCTTTGTGCATTCTGTTCTTTGGAAAAAAAAGATTGAATGCTTGAATGCTGAGGAGACAGCTGATAAGGATTTATTACTAGAATTAGCAGCAGAAAGTTTCAGTATCTACAAACTTAGTGAATAAACTTTGTTATGCCATATATTTGCTAGTGCTGACTAATCCTGCAGGTTTTACAGTTCTGAGATGTATCGCAAATTTGAAATGTAAAAATTCTTTGACATCAATATTTGCATGTTGGCATGGATATGACAAAGAGAGAACTTGTGGAACTTCAGCAGTGTCTGGATTTTCCTTCTCTTTGAGGGCCATTTTGATTTTATGAGCTGAGTATTGGTTGGGAGTCAGTCCTGTTTCTGACAGTGCCACTAGTTCACTGCAGGTCTATAAATAAATCATTTAATCTCCATTTTGTTTCACTTCTCCTAACATAAAAAGAGAATATAGATGTGTATATGCACGTATATGTATGTATATATGTGCATGTGTACATACATACAAACAGCAATTTGAAAGTGATAATTGGCAAATATTTTCTAGTATTTGATACAAAGACTGAGCTTTATTATTGGTATTTGCAAGTAAGAAAGAATATTATCAAACTTCAGGGCTTACTGACCTTATGGAAAACTTCACAGCTGCGTTCTCTGAAAATACTCATTATTCAATAATAGTCTGATTTCTGTGATAACATGCTTTTGTACTCAGATCGCTTGCCTGACAGGTAGACTGTATTGTATTTGAACTCATGACTGCGTTCTCAGTTTGGATGGAGGTCCTTTTAATCCGAAATTGAATCATATAGGAGCCCTGAACTTGGAAGTTCAGGTAACTGCACCAGTCTCCCACAATTTCTGTACCTGTTGCTAATCAGTCTGCAGCTTTAATCATCTCAATTCACATATAATTAATTAAATAGGTTATTTAATTGATAATTTTTCTGTGGACAGGTAATCTCACCTCAGCGCATTCCTGCCACTGTGACTCCTACCTTATTGATGTCCCCAATGGTGTTCACTCAGCCCACACCTGCTGCACCAAAGGCCAATGAAAGTGGGCTGTTAGCAGCACCAAACCAAGAACCTGCTGCCAGTTCTGCTAACCTTCTCCTACCACTGCAAACCCCAGAGCCACCTGTGATCACCAGCAACTCAGTGACAAAGATGCAGCTGCAGGAAACACTTCTACACCTGATCCAGGTAAAGTACCCAGAGTTCTTCTACTTCAATTTAAACCTTTATTCCCACTTTGATATAAGCACCTGGTCACTTAAGCACCTGGGCATCTAATGAGTTGTATTCATCTGTCTGGAGGCTAAGGGGGTAATTAAGAATGTGCTGGAAGTTGTGCTTTTTATGGCTGTGTTAATTGAGCACTATTCCATAGACCAGGGAGGTAATAGACTCTTGCATACTGCTAGCTTAAATGCACTGTGATTAATCAATGCAGTTTGAGATTTGGGAGGGATGATTAGGGAGAATTGAAGGAAAAGAATAAAGATGACTGAAAGCTTCAAAAGGCTGTCCTGAGAGCTGGAAAAACACCTGTTGAATTTTTAGCAAAGTAAAGGTTGTTTATCTTAGCAGGCAAATACTTCAAAGAGGCATGCTAGCAGCAAGAAGAACTCAGATGGGAAGTGTGAGCAACTTTAAAATATGGGTTAGATAACCTAACAACATGCTAGTTCAGTCTGTTCTGTGTAATTCTCTACTTGAAATGCTAAAATTCCTCTTGCTAGAATTATTCAATCTTAAATCTGAGAAAGCATTAACAGCATATAGGAGATGATTGTTTACTGCTCTGGGATTACATGAATGATTATGATTTTTTTTTTTAAGTAACTTGCTTTGAAATTAGTACCTGGAGACTGGAGTTTGAGACTGTAGAATTAAAGAACTGGCTATAGTACATAATGAATGGAGGCACAAGTTGAAGTGTCCAATTTGTAGGCCTAACTATATGGCTTGGCAATACAATATGTCTTTATTGGAATGCTGAAGTGACTCACATAAAATGAAGTTTAAATTATAAACTTGAGAAATAAAATAGTATCTTTTAGACATTAGCTGTTCTTCTCGTTGTCCTCTTTATTTTTATGTTGGGTTTAAAAAGAACAGTACTGTAATATTCTGTCTTATATACGTGGAATATCTGGATAGTAGGAAAACCGTGTATGAAAGTGAAAAGGAGACTACTTGTCAAAGAAAACTAGATTCTGCTCTGAAATTGTGTTTGTAAAATGCATTTGCAGTCCCGCTGTTCTTGATGACAGCTAGGATTAACTGTGTTACCTGGAAATTATATACTGCTTAATGACATGATGCTGATTGCTAGTTTCTTAGCTATCATTTTCAGTTATATAACACTACAATCTCAGTTGCTCCTGGTTTTCCTCAAGGACTACCCTGATTTGAATTATCTTCATATGTTTATGTAAGCTACTTAAGACATTTTTTCTTAATGTAAGTTTGCTAGTTCTTGAAAAAAATGGTCTTCTAAAGAGAAAAGCTAAACATGCATCAGAGTAAAAGGAGCAGTGCGTGGTAGGAGCGTTAAGTCTAAAATAATTAAACAGTCTAATAGTGATAGGAATAGGGGCAATGGTTTTAAACTAAAGGAGGGGAATTTTATGTGAGATGTTAGGAAGTAATTTGTTACTCAGAGAGCTGTGAGGCCATGGCCCACGTTGCCCAGAGAAGGTGTGGGTGCCCCATCCCTGGAGGTGCTCAGGGCCAGGTTGACTGGGTGGCAGCCCTGCCCATGGCAGGGGGTTGGAGCTGGATGAACTTGAAGTTACTTCAAGCCCGAGGCATTCTGTGATAAACAAGATGGAAGTGTTTGTCCAGGTAGGTTTTAGTATAGGAGCAAAACCCAAAGTGTTCCACTGTTCCTACGGAAACAATTATAATAATCAATGAACTAATGGAAGAAACTTAAGGAAACTATTAGGTAAATGGGGGCAAAGAGAAGAAATTACAGGATTATGTCATAGAATCCTCAGAGTTAGTTGGGACCCATCTAGTCCAACTCCCTTGCAATGAACAGGGGCATTAGATTAGGTTAGTTAGATCAAGTTGTTCTGAGCTGTATTCTCTGCAGTATCATGTAAGAACAGTGTAGTCAAGATAAATCAATGTGAGTTTAGAAAGTTTACTTTCTGTCTATTCATTACTACTTATAGAGTTGTGCTTCCCATCCAGTTATATATTACATCCAAGCCATAGAATATATGTTTGTACAGGAAATAACTCTTCTGTTGTATGCTTCTTAAGACAGAGGAGGGTTGAAAAGTATTTTGTCTGTGAAATGAAAGAAGAACCTTATCTGTGTACTCAAGAATGTCTTCTGTGTAGTAATGATTGTGTTTTGTTTTTCAGAACGATGACAACTTCTTAAACATTATTTATGAAGCGTATCTCTTCAGTGTGAGAAAGGCAGCAATGAAGAAATCCATGTGAAAGATGTTTTTGTTTTTTTAAATTCTGAAATTTTACTTCCTGAATCCCAGGAAAAAGGCTTCCAAATTTTCATGTTACATTTAAAGAAATGAATGGTCTTGGGCACTTTGCATACACACAGATTTTGCTCGTTAGCAAGTACTTGTTGTACTTAGAAAGAAGTGGGTGGAAATGGATCGTGCCTTCAGGGAGGGGAGTGTCACAATGCTGAAGACTTAATCGCAAAATATTTTTCGTAGACTGGCCCATACTTAGAATTGGTTTTCCTGCATAAAGTCACCGTTCTCAGAATTCAGTTTCGTTTTTGACTTACAGCATGGTTATTCATTAACTGGGTGCATTTCCTCCAATATCACATGCGACTTCCACGATGAACGATGCCCATTTCTGACCACATGGTGGCAATGTTGGACTTTTTTTTAGGAAAGTGAAAATTGGTGAAATTTTGGAACTGAAAATCTTAGGTAAACTGTTATGTCACCTTACTTAGTTGTCTGCAGAGAGATTTAGAAGAAATGTCATGAATATCCCCCAAAATTTTGTAGAAAAATCTTTTTCTATTTTAACAGAAATATTTTTAGCTAGCTGTAGAAGTGGAACTCTGCAGGTGTTTTGATGAACCAGGGGGGAGGGTTTTGTTTGTGAATGTACTTGCTATCAGCATAGCTTTGGGGTGGCACTGGATTCGTGTTTCTATTACTCCAGATCCAATCTGCATTACTGTAAGGAACGTGCAGCTTTGTTAAGGGGGAGGCTACCTGGTAAAAGTTCTAAGTTCTTTTTTGAAGTGTGTTTTTTTTGTTTTGGTTTTTTTTTCTGGAGCACAGTGGTTTCATTGATCCATTTCTAAAGAAAATAAAATGGATAGTCTCTACTTTGTAGTGATTTCATTTTATTTTACAGTGGACTATATATTTAGAATTGTTGGGATCAGTTGTATTTCTGTGACTTTAAAATTTTCTTACACTTGGCAGAAGAAACATTAATGAGATTAGAATAAGTGGCTGAAAGAAATTTTTTCTTTATTTTCATTAGCATCTCCTGCTTAAGTGCAAGTTTGCTACAGTCTGACCTGTAATGCAGTGTGACCTGTAATGCACAAATGAGTATATACTCATCTGGGTGGGCTATAAATGTAGGTATGTAGGCATAGCTCACCTGCCTCATCTGTGAGGGAAAGGTTCTTCAGTGTAAATAGGGACATACGTTTCAATTAGTGTAGTTTGAACTATTTATATGGTTACCCCCATTCCCCATATATATGGCTGTTGGGGAGGGATAATTGCTCACATTCCTTGGGAAAGGCTGTAAACAAACAACAAAAAAAAAGTGAAGAACTACTTGTTTTATACACAAGTGAATAATCCCAAGAGACTTGTGGCTATCAAACTGCTAGACTTTTCCTACACGAAGTAGCTCACAGAGAGCAAGTTGAATTCTTGTTCCATTTGTTACTAAATTGGGTTCCCTGAAAAGAACGTGTTGCACAGGTAGAAAGAGCAGACCTTAAAGGCAGCAAGACCTAATTCTTATTTCTTCTCTGCTGTGAAAGAAATTGGAATCTGCACAAAGGAGTTTGTATGAAACTAAATACATGCATAATGTGTGTGATTCTGGATTATCTGTGAGAGTACAATTTAGGGATGACGGGGATGCATAGTTATGACCTAATTTGACATGCAGAACCTTCTATAATTGGTAGGTAAAGATAATCCCTGAGTATCTCTGACTGTGGCTGTGATTGATTGGTTTTCTAGTCATGGGAGAAACATTTATATTTGGAAAAAAAAAAACAAAAAAACTCCACAAAACTGAATTGCAGCCAAATTTGTTGTTCAGCTTTTTATTTTAGATGGCAAAATCAGCTTCTTCAGAGGCATTTGGGAACTGGAGGCTGAACTTAGGCTCCGTGCTGTGCTGAAGAGAGAAGTGCTGTGCCCTATTCTCTCTTCTTTCTACTGTAAACTGAAGAGTCCATTCCAGAAAGACACTTTTTCAGAAATACAGGCAGAACCTTCCAGTACCATGGAAAAGCTGCAAGATCCTCATGCAGTGACGAAAACGTATATTATTCTGCTTCATAGCCTTTTATCAGCTGGGACTGTCTCTTTAGGCAGTCAGGTCTGTGCATGACGCCAGAATGTTTATGTCAGGTTTTATAGATACTTACCTTGAAATTAGAGTGGTTCTGAACATTCAGGTTCCCAAGTTGTTTTGGTTGTAGAACACCACTAGAGCTAGGGAGCCTCAAAGCTAGCAAGGTCTTTGGAGAAGAAAAGGCTACTGCCCTTATGGCTGCCACTCTTGGAATGTTGTGGGTTTTTTTGTTTTTTGTTTTTTTTAAATCTGAAAAAGGATTAAAGGTTGGAAGTAGAAAATCAGAAAAATTGTTAGGACAGCATTACTTTTAATTAAGGCATTCCCACAGTATCTCCATGTGATTTTTTTTTTTCTTTGATGTGTATTATCTAATATACTGTTAAGTTTTCTTCTTCTCTTTTTTTCCCAGTAGAGTAAATATGTTGGGAGTTGGTACTTAGCAGCAGTGCTTCACGCATTAATCCCAGTCTCAGCATTGAATTGATACTAGATTTCAGAGTGTTTCCACTTTAGTACTGTTTGCTTTCTTGCAAAATTCCATACCTATTGAACCAGAGAGATAAAATGAGGAGCATAAAGTCAGTCAAATACTGAAACATAATCTCTAACTAATTCTGTCAATGTTTAGCATGGAAATCCGTAATATTCTGTGAAGTCATCCCAACCTTTCCTCGGGCCATTTTCACAGAAAATTCAAATCCTTAATTTGATTTTCATTCATTAGCTCTCATCGCTCTTCTGTCTGCGCTTCCTTGTTGTTGCTGCAAAGGGGATAATTAAAACTGTACAGCAAAATAAAAATTTTCCAGGAGCAGCATGTGGCTGAATAGGCAGGATGCTTCGTCTCCTCTGACAGCCTGTTTACAATGTGTTGAGCTTTGAATTTCAGTCATAAGTGCAGTAGAATTCTAGATAACTCAGTCCCTTTAGGATATTAAAAACCATAGTTAATATTTTAGCAAACTTGGAGATCTTTGCTGGGGAAAAGATGAGATTAAAAGACATTTTTCATCAAGCGTTTGAGGCTCTAATGTTGAAAATGTTATGAGAAGGCAGCAGCTTTACCCAGAGGGATTCCTGAAAACTAGAGAAAAGATAAAATTCCAGTCATGAAAGTGAATAATGCACTAAAAAATTAATCCTCAGTCAACATATGATAAACTTTACTGTTCATCCTGACTAAGGATTTTTAAGAGCCTCATATGACTTCTGGCCTTTTCCAAACTGCTATGGTTATCCATAACAAGCCTGTTCTGACCTGTGGGCATGAATCTGCACTGAGCAGGACTGGGAATAAAGGAGGAATTTGGCATGTATAAACAGGAGGAAATGTGGTCCTGCAAGACACAGATGAAGAAACAAAGACTGCAACTTTATAAACACTTTAAGCTGGCTGTAGAGGCAGACTGGTCTCCCCCCACACTTAGACTGGTGTGGGAGTGTGCAGCTTTCCTTCCTTTTTCCAATACATTTCTCCTTTTCATTTGGACTAAGACAGGTTCATAGTAACCTGGTCCTGTTTTTCCACAATGCATTTTAAGACTCTCTCCCCACCAATGCTGCTTTAAATCCAGATCAGTTTGGTGAGCAGCAGTGCAGGTACCTGCATTGGTGAGGCATGGGGGTAAATGTACTTATAGAATCACAGAAGCATTTCAGTTGGAAGGGACCTATCTGGTCAAACTCCCCTGCACTGAATAGGGACACCCACATGTAGATCAGGTTGCTCAGAGCCCTGTCCAGCACAACCTTGGATGTCTCCAGAGACGAGGCATCCATCACCTCTTTGGGCAACCTGTGCCCCAGTAGAGGACATGCTGAGTCACACCTCAGGGTATGATGAGGACTGACAGCTCTCCTGCTTGCTGCCCAGCTGCTGATGGAGTCACTGTGAGAAGAGCAGACCTACAAATAAATCATGGGCCTTTTGCCTCTTTGCTTCATACTCAGAAGATACCACGAAGATCAAAATGTGATTTCACTGCTGTGCCCTGCTTTGGTTGTATGTGGAGGGCCGTGTGAGTGTCTGCAACAGCTCTACTAAGGATAAGGATTGTTCATGAGGTTAATCTCTCTGTAGAGGCAATGGAAGGACAGGATTGTCTTGAGGGCAAGCCTGAGCACAGACCTAACATGGCCTGGGAGATTTAGACTGACTGATCTCATGTTAGCTTGTGCAAGCACCTTCCCCAGCACCACCGCCATCTTGCGTTGAAACTGCTGACCATAAAGGCAGCCCCTACTTTTCCTCACTAAACAGATCCTTGGGTGACTGAGTTGGTATATACGATAGGAAGACACTGTATGTGTTTTAAAGGCAGCAATCTCAGACAAGAAATAAAAAAAAAAAAACATTTTTTAGACTGAGTCACAAATAAAAATCCTTTTTATTGTATTTGGACACAAAGAGTCAAGCAAGCTCTGAGTTCAGGACAATGCATGTGCACTAACAACATTAGTCAAATTAGGCAAAAAATAAAAGAAAACCCTCATATCATGTGGACAAAAGCCAAAAGAAACAGGATCACAACTCATTTTACTACTAGTGAGACAGTGGTTCACTTTCAAATGATGAAGGAACCGAGGCCCTATAGTTGCTACCCTGTACACAGAGGGATGCTGAATGTTGGCTGGATCCTACACAATTATTAATTCCTTTTTTGCCCAGATATTGCCAGTCTGCATCATAGGCCCATCAGCTGAGTGCAGAGCTCCTGTGCTTTCTCTTGAACTCTGCTGGTGTGAATCTCTTTTACAGCATAGAACTTCGGGTACAGCTATCAGTACTGCATTTCTTCACCTGATATCTGAAATCTACTTATGAAACCTATGAAATAATGATAGGTATTATGTCTCTACAAAAAGATACGAACTTTGTGGTTTTCTCCAGCACTTGCCTGTAAATACTACA